CTGTCAGGACAAAACATGCAGAGCGTCTGCGTAATATATAGGATGACTAAATCGCAGAATATGGTCGTTCACTTGTTCGTTTCGTACAGCCAATGGCAATGTTCCGGTCGTGAACAATCTCAGGCCCACTACGCTGGCCGTATGTTGCTAAGCCATGTTTCGTGAGCTCCGCCGACGCACCTGCTTTCTGGACGTGTCATATCGATGGTGACCACGCAGATGCGTCACTCTCTGCACATGTACTTTTCCATGTCTGGGTGCGTCCTGACAGTTTCTGAATGGCATATATCTTCAAAGTTTTTAAGGCATTATCATCAGCTTGGATAACCTAATTGTTCCAAAGATCTCCATTTTTTGAGAACATCAAGCTTGGAATACTTTTCTTTCCTCTACAGGCTTGAATTTATCCTCTTTTCGTTTTAGGATGCTTGCTTCAGGAAAAGACCAAGATCCCTTTCGGAAAATCCTCCAGAAAAACTCATTCCACTATATCGTTTCCCGAGCTTGTGTTCATCACTGAGTGCACGTAAGATTCACATCCCTTCAGCTGAAAAATAACGAAAGGTGGGAAAATCAACATGACTGTGTTTATGCTGCATACAAACCGTGCGGTTAATTAGTTACTCTTGGGGAGTGGCGTTAATTCTGCGCGAATTCTTCTTATTCTTAAATTCGCGATCGTTGTGGTTAAATGACTAAATTCATCTGCGGTCCAATATGAAGCTGAACATCACAACAAACTGTACTGCAACTATTGTGCTTTATTTAGTCCAAAATTCACTTTAATATTGACCCACAAACTGGCCTCTACTAAAGGACAATGTGACGTTTACCAAACAGGCTTTTGGCGAACTTGGCACAAAACCATGAAACCAGACATGAAACCAAACAAAACCAGACGAAGAGGACGGATACGAATATAAACAGAAGACGGGTTAGAATTCCGGTAATTCTGCCTGAGGTAAGGGCTGTAATTCCATCTCATTTCCACTCCGAATCGATTTGACTGAGTCCACTTTCAAAAGCGAATATGTTTCGTATTGAAACACATCCGGTCGTCAGCATAGCTCACTTCATCAACCTATGTGTTGGAGTGTCGGGAAAATTCGCGAAAAATAGTGTTTCTAGTGCCACTTCGCGCACCAAATCTCATTTGTTCCAGTGCCCGTGATTTTTCATTCTTGTTACGTGTGACGTTCGTGCTGACGTCAACCCGCTTGGGCTGTTGTCAAATGCAGACAGGACGCTCTCTCAGACGAGTTTTTTTCACAAAGCTGGTTTTGGTGAACTGAATGTAGGGAGCGACATATGGGTAATGGAGATTTCTGAACCATTTTTAGTAGTGTAGTTATAAGAGATAAACTCAATCACCGACAGTCGAAGTCGTCAGGTTAGTTGAATATAGGATAATGTGTACTGAAGTTGCCGTTTGCTCACTTTTGTCGCCACCTGTGGTAATAAGGGCTCCTATTACTGAAATCTTCAGTTGTACTTCAGTCACTGTATCCCGATTTGAGTAGCCTGATAGGGCAAAAAATTCGTTAACCACTTACATTAATTAGGTTGTCAACTTTTGTAACACTGACACAATTATATGTAGGAATGTCAGCCACCAACAGCTGACAACGAATGTTGGGTTGTCACTCTTAGATGACGCTCCGCAGAGTTGCATCTAATCCTTGAGTATAATTTCTGTGGACTGATGTAAATAAATCAACTTCACCGTGTTATACGAAAGGAATAATCTATGGTGGTATTGAAGTGGTGCACATTAGTCATATTGAGTTGTGTGTGCAATAAGAATTCATGCAAACAAGACATATGCTGTGACTTGTAGCAACCTAGAAGCAATATCATAGTCTCGTGTTTACTTTTGTGTGATTTTTGCAATCATGGAGATGGATCAATGAAATATCCCCTTACTCAGTACATTTTTCAGTTTATTGGATTGTGTCAAACTACTAGTTTAGCTTCAAAACGAATGATGATGATAGGTCCCATGTCTCATAGCGACGACAAACGAGGATAATAGTTTCGGTACCGAACACATATTACGGCTTAAACTGCAATGATTATTCTCCGTCTAATGACCAGACACTATCACACATTTCACCTTTGGAGGGATGTAACCGATTTGAAACGGATGACTCAACGATGACCTCATGAAGTTTTGTATCCCAACGTTTTTTTTACTCAGAAATCTAGCGTTGGGTATTCTTCGTTTGAAAATCCAGCTGCTGAAGAAGGGACTTTAGGGGACTGAATGCCTCAGGACCGTCACCCTCAGCAACTGAACTATCCGTTAGACACCAGGATTTATTTGCAAAGTTCAAGGGAACCTCTGACATTTTTGGATTTGGAAAGCCAACGGCCAAATGCAGGCTTCCAGTATGTCCAAAAGGAAAGCGACCGGTCATAGTCATTAGAATGAGATTGGTTTATCAGATCACGTTTTACTGCTCTTCTGTTTGTTCACGAGAGAGCACGGACTACAACAGTTCAAAACTTTGACTTTTCACCTGTAATATGATCTGCTCAAATACCGCACAACCATCTCAAAGAAGTATCAACGGAAATCCGGACGCAGCAGCCTACTCATAAGTAGCCTAAAATTAACTGTCTATGCGAATGATTACCATCTTCCCGCCAAATGTCAGTGGCCAATGAATCGGTTACCCGAACGGTGTAGGACACAAACCATACGGATAATAATAATGGTAACTTGGTGGTAACGCTTTTAGTCGATTTTGCTCAATACTTACTAAACGGAGCACAACTAAGATCCTTTTCTAGGGAAAATACGTCGCACTGCATTGTTCTTTGAAATGAAGTTGAAAATCAGTGGTTTGATTGATTGATAAGAGTGGAAACGATACACATATAGTTCGTTCTGTAGTGGTAACCAGGAATCACAAATCGACAATTTTTCGTAATCATAGGCAAATTCAGGTAGCTCTCTGGGGGTCCCGCAAAAACTATGTTTATCTCTTACATTTCAGGCGAACCTTCCCTCACTAGTTTTGGTGAAATGGAGGTGAAATTCACTTTTATCCATATTTCTTGACGAAACGTTTTGGATGCCAGCAGAAATAATTAAAAGTGTCAGCATTTCTTCAGAACTCCACTAGATCCACAACCTTATTACAGAAACCCTTGATGAATAATTCATTTGAGTTTGCTTTTTTACGTTTTTCCGCCTGATATGCCGGTTCACTCAATATCTTACCTCCATCATTCAGCCATGTCAGCTTCATGGAATAATTGCAGCTCATTTTAAAGTTTAAGGGTGTACTCAATTTAGTCTTCAAATCCGCCTTTGAATATCTGAACGAATTAAAAACAACTTAAGATTAGGATCTACCTCTGAACAAAGGTATTCAACCTCTTCAACCACTGGATATGGAACCAGTTCAGATGCGAACGGAAGAATTTTGGATAAGCTTCATTCTCCTGCTCTCCACTTAATTGTACACGCAGTTCAGGTTAAAATCAGATGCACATATGAAGTATCCACAAACAGTGCACTGAAAGCACCTCTGATTCCGAATTGACTACGGTCCTAATAACTGCCGTCCAGTGCCTAAAACCTTCATTTCGTCCAGTCTTGGAATCCTTTCTGTCAGAACAATTGATGCATGATTTAGAAAACAGTACTCTACTGAGTGGTTCCAATACGGCTGCAGACGTAATCGCTCCTACGGGGGACAAGTTGGCATATATATAGGACGCTTGGTCTTCCGAGTTGGACAAGTTAAGTGAGATGTCACTTGACGTTTAAAAAGTGTGTTCACGTGGGGCACGCTGATTTGATCTTCAAACTGCCGATATATGGCCGAGAATAAGTAGTTGGACTGCAGGCTTCTATGTAGCGATCGGCCGATCCGCGTGCATGTTGACGGAATTGATTTTATGGCTCGCAGTATCAATGCATAGGTTGCTCATGGTTCCGCCCTTTCACTAGTTATAAGTTCGCTGGTGAAATCACCAGCGCACTGTTCCTCATCAGTTTTTAAACAAGCATGTACAGAGGATCAAAAGCGTGACTGACGATGTCATACAAATTCGTTACATCAAATTTGTGATATCATATGCACTCAAATTCCTCTGGTGTTTTTGGTTTGAACTCCGCTGACAGCCTTCCTTGGTCCACTCACGACAAACTGGTCATTACAAGTGCGTACAAGGTGAATTTTCTTCCTCGCGCAAGCAATTAGTTTACTGCGTTCTCAATTCCTATTTTCTGCAGATCTCAGATAAGCTCTACCATACAATACTGCTGTCACATACGGGGTACTGTTGCCTTCACTTAATCCTCAGTCATGGCCACTTTCCAAAGAAAGATCGCTCGCCTCGTTAGCATCCCGTACCCCAACCGAAAGCCTTCAGCCTGTTTCACACAGTCCTTTGTTTATCGTTACTTTGGCGGGAAATACATCCAAGAAATCACATCAGCTGTTCCCCTCCCACAAACTTTCAACCATCCCACACAAATGTATTCCTCCAATTGCTGAATTACCGTTCAATGATGTCGGACTGGTCTCTTTGGCCCTTCCTTCTTTCCCAGAAAAATTATACTCTGAAACGCCCTAATGCCTAGTACAGTAAGCTTCCAGTTTTTCAACTTTTCAAGATTAATATAAACACAATCCCGTGGAAGCCAACCTATCGTTTTATTCACTTGATGGTTGTATATCTTATGTACAGGGGGCTTCATTCCCTCTGTAAGCTGCCTATTGCAGTGACCTATCTTTGGATTGTGTTCAATTATGCACAACTCCCGAAAGATAGGGATTCAAAAAAATTATAAGCAAGCGCTTGGCGTATAGAAGTTCTATAGTTATGACTGGGAATTTTACTTCAGTGAGTGCGACAGATCACGATGTATTGTCTCCGTCTCAGCAAATAATCCTGCTAAGGTTTTTGATAAGTTTCTTTGACTTTAGATATAAGTCCTAAGACTTTTTTCGGACTGTCGCATAAATTAATTATCTTTACTACAGGTGCATTTTGTTTATCCGTCCAAAATACTACAGTATGAAGGTCCACAGCATCAGTCAAAACCTGAACCTGCGGCTGACATTGCTGACTGGGAAATCCCGCAATGGCAGTGGTATCTTCAGGAACTGAATGAGAAGCTGTTCAATAAAGAGGATAACTTGCATCTGTGAGTCCCAACAAGCATGCTACCGGATCGCTCCTGCCGTTCTGATGTCCCCATCTCGAAGGATGGAATGGCCATCATAGGTAATGTTTTATATAGTGGAAAATGTTGGTAGCTCAGGTAGCGTAGATGGTCGTTGGCTTGTTCGCTGAACTGGGCAGTTTCATTGCAAACGCTTCATCACCAATCGAGAGGACGTCATCAGTGTATTGTGCACAATCACTAACCGACCACTACACTCCCCAATAACGCACTGATGACGTCACCTCGATTGGTGATGAAGCGTTTGCAATGAAATTGCCCAGTTCAGCGAACAAGCCAACGACCATCTACGCTACCTGAGCTACCAACATTTTTCCCTATACAAAACATCAGCTATGATGGCCATTCCATCCTTCGAGATGGGGACATCAGAACGGCAGGATGTCTCCGGGAGTGGCTTCCATATTTCGTTGCCAAGTCAATGGTTTACATTGTGGACATCTGTCCCCAGAGCACCTGAGTACATCTGTTCTCCTGGTTTAGATTTCAAGAGCGGAATGTCTTGTCGCGCATATCGTACATCCATATTATTTAACGAATAGTTTCGGAAATTTTTCAGGTTGTCTAGTTCTATATCAATAAACTTATGCGACTCCAACGACTTAACTGAATGCTTTGAGGAGTAAATCGCATCCAAATAAGGAATGGGATGTATCTTATCCCAATGAACACAGCATAACCTGGGAGGCAACCAAGGGATACATTGCAATCGTTCATGTCTTAAGAGACCAGCTGTACACAATACGAGTGGCCAGCCTCAAACAAGATTCTTGTGATTTCATTTTCTGACGATACTAAAATTTGTAAACAAGTTCGACGGAGCCCGGTTTAGGCGTGAAATTACTGACCAAGGGGTCCATGGTTCCAACTCAACCTTAGCATTCCGACTGCCCCCGTTGAGCCTTGGGCAACCCGGCAGTACTTCAGGCGTCGCGCTTCCTTCAGGCTTGGCAGCTATGCACCAGAAGAATGTTACAGCCAAGCGACTATTATTTACTCGTCTTTCAAACCTACTTTTTCCACAGACCTCTTAAAAGCTACCCCTTTTCGCTGTATCACGGACTTTCCATCGACAATAAGCCAAATGACTCAAGTTCCGCATTCGATTCGAAACGCAAACTTCGGTCTACCTGAACTAATAGCAACACAACCAAGAATCGAGTGAACCAACAAACTTATTACTATCGTGATTTGTTCGCTTGATTGGAGCAACTCTAACGGTACTTCACGTCATTTGCAACGATGAGCACGAGTAATACACATCTGCGGTGTTTTTACGGACCGATAACAGGAAGTCACAAACGAAGTATCAGAAAAGTCCAAATATTCTGTCGAAGCACTATGAAACAAATATCCATCGCCGTACTACTCGAAGTTTGCAACCGCAGATTTCACACTTAGTAGACCCAACTATAGGGTAGCAGAACCAACGTTTCCAGCCTCATTCGGAGTTTCGCGTTCTGCCCATCAATCCAATGGTCTAGTTCACCAGACCGGAACAAACTGGTTCCGAATACTTTAAAATCCAGTGTACAGAATATATCCTGAGCGTATTGTGCAATCCCAGGTTTTTTTTCGCCTAACGTAAAAAAGAGCGTTCAACTGTAGCACCCTTCCAATGCCTAGCTGTCATGCCACCCGAAGAAAGCACGAGGGCTGAGATACTGCCAGGTTGCCCAAGCATAGACAGGGGAAGTTCAGAGTTCGGATTCGAACCACGGACCTTCCGTCCAGTAAATTGGCGCTCTAACCACTTGGGCCATCTTGCCTACTCCTGGTCATCAGAATAAGCGCATTACCACGAAAGTTTGCATGCTCTTATGGAACATAAATATTGTCATGATTCGATATCTATTAAAATGAAGCCCGTTACGTTGCCGCACTAACAGCAGGTACTTGAAAATCGTGGTGCTGTAGGTCTTTCAAAATACAGCCGGCAGACGAATTCTCTAGAAACGTCTTACAAGCCTCATAAGCGTAACATACGAAAATGTGATTACAATGAGAACAATAGAGTTGTGGTGTTGGCAGGTTTTCCAGAACGTAATAAACCCTGCGTTCTGCATGAATAAATTGCATCCAGTAAACGTTTTAGAGAGGTTTCAATGTAGTTTTGTCACTCCTTCGTATTTCTTATCTTGAAAGAAGCGACTGCCTCAATACTGCCCTAATTCCAACAAAGAATCGTTCAGCACCCCTCCGGTGTCTAACTGCTATGCCACCCGAAAGAAGCACAAGGGCTGGGATACTGCCAGGTTGCCCAAGCCTAGGCAGGGGAAGTCGAGAGGCAGAGGTCGGGTTCGAACCAGGAACCTTCCGGTCAGTAAATCCACGCTCTAACCACTTGGGCCATCTCGCCCCATAAAACCCATGAACCCAGACTACGAACCAGCTAACCCGTAGATAAGTGCCGTAGTGTACTGAATTTGACTTTGTGTGGGTGACGTGCGTCATGTTGTTGAAAAGTATATTCTCATCATAACTGGCAAAAAATTGAAACATAGTAGCCACCCAATGTCTTGTCGTACGAATCTGCTGTTTGCTTAGCGTCCACTATTGTTCAGCGGCACTCATCGCAAAAAATTGCACTGTAAACAATCACAGAGCTGTCATGGCCTCTCCGTCACTGGAAAATCTTTCTTCACCCTTGAGGTTACGCCAGTTGTGATCTAGGCCAGCTGAACACATTTCCTCCTGACGATTGCCAGTTTTGACACGTGTGCTCCTCCACCTAATCTCTTCTCTGTTGCGTTCTGGTTGGTTTCAAACACAGAACCCTCTTCATTTTACTTGAGGAGCGGATACTTCGTTGTTTTCTTGTTTCCCCTCGGCCCGTTTATTCAGTGTCGTAATGGTATTGTTAAGATTTGGTCACAGTAGGTCTCCTAGTAATTGGTATTTTTCTGTACATCAATGTTCTGCTTTACTCCGACAACGTCGCAATACGCACTACTACCTAATCCGAGTGAGCTCATGGAAGACAACTTGAAAGGTATGTCGCTAGTGAACACAACTCGCGATCGATAACACGACGGATATGACTAAGAAACTTGAAACTTACTGTTTAGAACAGACCGTCCTCACCATCAGTTATGACGTCCGCAAAGCCATCTGAAAATGTTTTCGTCGGATTTGTGTGGTAAATCCGAGAGCTTCGTAGCATCCGAAAAACATATGAGCTCGCACATATAGAAGTGAGGGCGTAGACGGGAAAACAACGGAAGACCTTAATGGTATTGCCTCATTATATTTGAAACGAACCAAAGTGCTATTATTTGGCCTCCATTAAGCTGGTTGGTCAGACAACCTGAGGAAGGATGGTCCAAGATTAATAAAAAAACTGACAATAACATCTAGGAGAAGAGATTTTGAGTCAAGTCTCCAGGTCCACTGACAAAGTATTTCTTGTCCCAATGACGCGCTCCGGAAGTGTTCATAAAAAATGAAGTGAAAAAGTTAGCTAAAAGAGGATGCACTTTTCCCATGAAATATACAAATTTAAGAGGGGGTCAGGATACTAGTAACGAAAGTGACCAGTACTCAGATACATAACACAAACACTGCTATCTTTGATATCAGCAGGAAGTGTGCAGAGGCTGCATGACCCAAAGGATGTTTATGTAGGAACAAGGTATGCGCTGGGGTTCAAGAACCTTGAAACACTTGTGACTTATCACAAACAGATTCTCACCATCATCATCATCATCGACAGCATGACATCAGTGTTCAACACCAACGCTTCACTGCCGTACAAACATGACTTATTTGAAAGCCTATTGTCAAGAAAAGAATAAAGGTGGATGGGGGATTCTGGGCGTGGACAAAACCACAGAGGACTCTCCCATTGATACACATGAAAACCGAAGGTACATACATGAGTCAAACGTGTATGATTTCACAGATACGACTAAAACAAAACAAAAAATAACGGCTAAAAATCAAACTACATTAAAAAGACACTGATATGTCATGATGAAGTCAAGAAGTCATGAAGTTAATAGATGAAGCTGAAAAAGTACTGGTAAAAATAATAGCTTTGCTCAATGAAAATTGCGCCAACCATCTGTCATAAAGTACAAACGGAATGGGCAGGTATGTGGAATGGTCAGAAAATTGCTTTCCTTGGCGGCATTGGTAGTCTGTTGGGTTGTTCGCTCACGTCCGGGTGTTGAGCTGCATTCACACTGTGTCGCACAGTAGGAGTCTGCGGCTGATAACACAAGTCAAAGATTGCATCCTCATCATTCCACTTGGCTATAAATTCTGCCGCTGTAAGGTTCATTGCCTTCAAGCATCGGTTGGTTGAAACAATTCGACTGACTGCTATCGCCCCGGTTATAGAACCAGCCAGAAACAGAACGATACCAACATAAGCCACAGAAAAATGTGCCATGAGTCCGGTGACAGCCGTTAAAATAATTCCGGTGAGTATCAGTACGAGGCCAGGTAGTCCAACACCCAGGCTTACATAGAATAACACATCAGAAGCTACAAGTTTATTTGGAACGGTACCTTGACTCATAGCCGGTATGATGGACCCACAAAATATCAGAGCTGAAAATGAAAAAAGGTCATGTGGTGAGCGGGGATTTCCCTCCATCAAATGACAGAAATAAATGAGCAGAAGGGATGTTGAATAGCAGTCGGTAAGAGGACACTAAACGGGTTCGAACAGTTGGGGTGAACAGGATCACAGTCAGCAGCAATTCGGCACACTATTGGAGCCGATTCGCCAATGTTCTATATCCAATAGGGTAAATGACTATTGCTAACACAAATAATGGTTTGGACATTAGACTGGTGCTGGTGGAGACCTCAGCTGAAATTCACCTGTATATTTTCAACTGAATTTGCCACAAAAGACCGGTTAATGTTTCACGGCATGACATCTGAGATATCAAGACTACTCACAGTCCAGTTTTAATAGACCACATGCGTGACTAGTGTAAGTATTGACAGGAATGTGATGGAATGCGTCAACCTCGTGTGCATCAATCAGCAGCAGCAGCAGAGAATCTTCCAACCCCACCACCACCACACTTGGCTGCCATTGTTGCCCCTAGTACGTGAAGCACGTAGGCTGGATGCTCCGTCACTGACGAGCACACGTTCCTCAAGTGCAACGAGGATAAAAAAACTTCTCCCTTTTATTTGAGACATGTTGTAGGTATAGAGGAAAATCTTGGTAGCTCCAGTTGCGTAGATGGTGGTCGTTGGCTTGTTCGCTGAGCTGGGCAATTTGATTGCAAACGTTTCACCACCAATCGAGGTGACATCATCAGTGCGTTATTGTGGAGCGTAGGAGTGCGTAGCGCTACGCACTCCTACGCTCCACAATAACGCACTGATGATGTCACCTCGATTGGTGGTGAAACGTTTGCAATCAAATTGCCCAGCTCAGCGAACAAGCCAACGACCACCATCTACGCAACTGGAGCTACCAAGATTTTCCTCTATACCTACAACATGTCTCAAATAAAAGGGAGAAGTTTTTTTTATCCTCGTTGCACTTGAGGAACGTGTGCTCGTCAGTGACGGAGCATCCAGCCTACGTGCTTCACGTACTAGGGGCAACAATGGCAGCCAAGTGTGGTGGTGGTGGGGTTGGAAGATTCTCTGCTGCTGCTGCTGATTGATGCACACGAGGTTCCTACACCTCCAAACAATCATTCCGGCAATCTGGATAGAAACTAACAAGATCGCCACTGATATTTTCTTCATGCCCATGCGCCAGGTCAAGAGTTGGCCACCCCTCTGCTTCCGTCACTCTCTTCAGCAAAAAATGGTTTGGCGTACGCAACACATGTTCCAACCAACGCAGCTTCTGGTGTTGGATACATTCTTCAATGGAAGCGCCCGTTTCACAACCGGAAACTCGCCTTCTAAATGCCTCGCTACGAATTCGCCGATACCAATCCACACGAGCTATGGTTCTGAGACAACGACTGTCGAACACCTGGAAACGTACAGTTAGGCTAATCGGATAGGCCAAGTCTCACAGTCATACAACACAACAGTCCGCAGTGTAGCTTGATTCAGGAATGCACCATTCTGACGCCATAGGTGTCTCACATTAGCAAACACGATCCGAGCCTTGCAGATTCGTGCATTACCCTCATCTATCACGGTACAATCCGAACTAATGGAATTTCTAAGGGATGTAAAACTCTCCACAACTTCCAGTGCCTACACCTGGATTGTAAGTGGCGTGTTCAGTGACTCCATGTCCAAGAACATGACCTTGCACTTTGTGGGTGCAAAGTGCATACCAAAGGACGGGATGATTTTAGACGGTTCGTCCAAAAACACTTGCGCCTTCTCCTCTTTGAAGATAAGAACGATGTCGTCTGCATATTACAGATCGACAACGCCTTTATCACAGGCTATTTGAACCCTGGAGTTTTGTCAGCTTCGTCTCATGACTTCGTCGATCACGAAGTTGAGTGTGGGGCATCCCTGACGGACACCACTTTGTGTACGGAAGCTCTTGGACGGCTCGCCGTATATTGTCACACATCCGGAAGTCTGAAAATACAAGAAATGTATTATGATCATACACTTCTGGGAAATTTCTTGAACAAACCGGTCAACCGGGTCGAATGCGCTTTGGAAATCCAAGAATACTAAAATTGTGGGTCGCTTATATGTATGGCGTTGTTCTAGTATGTGAGGAAGTGTGAAGATTTGGTCAACACAATCCATACCAGGCCGGAATCCAGCTTGCTGATCTGGAGCCATTTTGAGGAGACGAAGCACCAGTCTCGTTAAGACCGGTGTCAAGCTGACCCCCTGTGATTGCCACACTCATTACGAACCCCTTTTTTAAAAATGGGTACTATCACGGACTTACCCAGTTGTCTGGGCAGACTCCTATCCCAAACGCAAGCAAACAGATCAGACAAGCGCTCACTGAGGATTTCACCCCCATCTTTGAACAATGCGTGTGGGAGGTCATTCTGACCAGAAGCTCGGTGATGCTTCAGTCGTATGTGCAGTCGTAAACCTACGAGACCGTAGGTGGTTCCACGTTCACAGCCCAGGGTTCTACGCCAACTTTGGGTTCCAGATAAGTGGCAGCTGGTGGCCACGATAAATGTTGTTCGAACTATCCTGCTCATCGGTCGAGGCGTTCTTTATTCGAGACATTCACTCCGTTCCGATTCTTGATGGTTTCGCCCACAGGTGGTTTCTGGTGACCGGTCGCATTACCGGCTTTCTCGGGCTCTTCCATTTTTGGCCTTGTGTCCACCATAATGCACGGTCGGCCCGCACGCTCACTTTCATTTGACGTCCGATAATTCGTCGCATCAAGTTATGTTCCGGGCCAGCTGGGATACTGTTCGGGGGCCAGCCGTCCCTAATAACCGAACGTCACATCATTTGGACGCATGTGTCACGTGCAGGACACGGGCCAGACGTAGGCATGCCCTGATTGGTCAGAATGCCAGTCAATCCGAGCCAAGTACCTTGACTCGACGCTTCTCGCCCCCTCACGGACATTCTGGCATGACCTTGTGGAACACTCTGTGACTACCCTATAAATACAGTTGTAATGATTTTCCTTTGTCTCCATAAAGGGCTGTGTAGAGCTACCGTGCCTTTTGATATACCCTAGTGGGCGGAGCAAGGAAGCCAAGGGACCGATACAGAGTTGCATTACCGTCCACAAGCTATAACAGATATTTCTCCGAGTTTTAAGCAGTGCCACCGTTCGGTCTGATATCCAGTGCTTGAGTGCGCCTGGTGGTGCCGTGCCACATGCACCATTTCCAGAACTATGCAAAGAGTTGGCAATCTCGTCCAAGTATGAGTTCATATCTGATGGTGGAGCATTCACAAGAGACTTTAGAAGACGATTCGGATCTGCTAGCCTCTCAGTTGCGAAAAAAACGTAGGGAGAAGCGACTCCGGAAGAGTGGGTGGTCGAAATCCACAAATGTGTTCCAAAACGACCGTTAGTCAGTTACTGGCCCGGGCCATCGGTAACTGATGCAGATGTGATCGATCTGCGTTTGTGGCCGGCATGCTATTGGAGGACACCAGGTGACCAGACGACTTCGGCTATCTCGGAAGTTAGTATGGCATAAAAACAGCCTGCGATCACGGCACAGCTGAAACAATCATTCACCAATGTCCGTACGTACCAAGTCCATTCCATGTCGACCTCCTAATTGAATCTCAGATACGCAAAGCCTGCCCACTTGTGCATTCATTTCTCCGGCAACCACCACAACGTCTGAGCTTTTAGCTCGCCGCAGCAGGGCATTTAGGGCATCGTAAAACTTGTCTTTGACGGCATCGGAGCTTGTCATTTTGGGGAGTAAGCAGACACGATAAACAGACAGTGATCCATCTCTCACTTGTAAAACTCTTCGAAGGACGTTGCCAGGCGGACCGCGCAGAGGCGACTATCAACAGGTATCCAGTCAAGGAAAGATACTTCCGTCCGGTGACTTAGGACCCCTGAAAATCCCGGAGTCAGGCACTCCTAAGTGTTGGGCTTAAAAGGAGAATGGGGATGGTGGAAGAAAAAGTATGTGAAAGAGAAAGAAGGGGGGCGTCAGCAGTATTCTGTATGCAGCGACTAAGGCGGCCTACTGCAGCGATTGCCTTGGCAATCCGAACATTTGGTTTAGTATCCATTGCCAAATTTGGTGATGGCTCCACCGAGGTAGCAGAAGTCCACAAAACACGCTACATTCGAGCCGCATTTGGATTCAGATTGCTAAGAGCAGAAGACTAGGAAGTCAATGTCAGTTGTGAGGTTGTCTAGCACGCAATACACCACCGGCTCGTACTTCCAAACCTTGGAACCATCCCAAAGTGGGCATCAGATAGGCGAGTAAAAGCCTAGACGATCAGTGCCATAGAACATTCTTTAAAAATCCGATGTCCTGTACATAGCTGAATAAAAAGGATGGGGAAGGGAACACGAACTAGCCTTCACAATCACTCTGGAATGCCTAAACCTTCAGACAATTATTCAGACAATCAGGATAGAGACCAACGACAAGGACGCCCCTGATATCGATTGGCAGCCCTACCTTGCAACGTATTAAGAGCCACAGTGAGGATCACTCGAACCCTATCCTGGAAGGCGAGTCGCACAGAAAGCACTCAAGCTTTCCGTAGTTCTTTCCATAAACTTATGTAAGGTCAACCGTCGGCCACCTCTCTGCATGTGCTACAATAAACTGGTCACGGAAAACAGCGATCTCTTCGCAAACAACGCTTCAGTATGAATATTAGATGGTACAACCACCACATCTTCTAGTGCTTCGACGCAAGTTTCCGTTGCACAACCCAACACTCGTTTTCTAATTGCCTCGTTGCGAATTCGCCCGCACCAGCCCACATGAGCTTTGGTACTGAGATAATGGCTGTCAAAAACCTGACAGCCTGACACCTTAATTCCACTTTTCGCAGCCACACAACGAAACAGCTGTAGCCTGACATACGTTCATTGATATTCAATGGTATGCCGCTACAGGTGTCTCAAACTAGAAAATGCCACCATAGCTTTAGAGACTCATGCATTTACCTTAGCTGTCAGACCACAAGTAGAACTTCCAAAAGAGGTAAAAATCTCACAACTTCGAGTACCTCTATCTGGGTGGTAAGTGGCGTACTCAGAGACTGCACTCCAGAACCATTAGCTTATGCTTTTGGGGACCAAAGCGCGTGCCAGTTTATCCTACTCGAGGACCAGAACGATTCCCACACAATCCAGATGGACAAGGCTTTCGTCAAAAGCTTTTTGAACACCAGGCTTTTGAAGACCGTCCTGCGTTCGTATCATCATCTTGTCGAACACTAAGATGAATAGTACTAGAAATAGTAGGTACCCTTATCACGCACCGCTCTGGGTGCCGAAGACTTTGGAGAACTCCCCGAATACTGAGACATTTGAAAGTCTTAGAACACAGGACATTATATGAACATACCCGGCTGACCGGGCTCGGTAAAGAAAACAGACCGGTCGACTGGGTTAAATGCGCTTTGGGAACACATGAATCTAAAACTCTGGATAGTGTACACCCACGGCATTGATCTATTACCTGGGGCAGTGTGTACATATGGTCAACGCAAATCTACCGGGCCAGAATCCAGCCTGCTGCTCTCGAGTCAATGTTTCACAAGCCACCATAAGGAAACATAAAACAATTGGCGTCAACCGCGTCTCTCAGTAAAGGTTTCAAAAAGCCACATAAGGAAACATAAAACAATTGGCGTCAACAGCCTCGTTACAACTGCAGTCGAGCTGATCCCCGTGTGGTCGCGCGCACTACGGTTCCATCTTCTGAAAGAAAAGGCATAATTTTCTATTCTTCCCGGTTGCCTACAACAGCCACCTTTCCCTGGATGGGGGCAAAATAGATAACACAAGCACTGAGGACATAAACCCCATTCTTGAACAGTGCGGATGGGGGCAGCTCATCCCGACCAGCAGCTCGGTGGCGTTTGACAGAACATATATAGTGATAAGCCTCTGAAGCCACAGTGGGTTACAAGTTCACCATCTCGAGTTCTGCTGAAGAAGGATCCGCTTAAAATAACGGTTTAGTCGGTCTCCTTCAACACAACTCTCTCCTCCTTAATGCTGTTGTTGATGTGCTGGTTTAAATTCCTATAGGTTATATCCCTTTGGTTCCTAGCTATCATGCTACCCGCAAGGAGCACAAGGTCTAAGGTATTGCCAAGTTGCCCAAGCATAGACAGTAGCAGTCAAGATGCAGAGACTGAGTTCGAACCACGGACCTTCCGGTCAGTAAATTCACGCTCTAACCACTGATTCGAGTCCCACGTCTTCATTCAACGGGTAAAAGGAGACTATGCGTCGCACAAGCAGTGACGATAAATGGACTTGTTTGTCCAAATTGGTACGAGGTGAAAGCAAAGCAGAGGTGATAGATCTGATGCATGACCACCATTGGCTGCGGGACACGACCATACCTACCAGGCTCGCCAACCGTTAATTTGTTTCGTGCCACGATTCGAATCCAGAGAGAAGGCAGTTACCAACGTGGATGGGTTGACTGATGAAGGCGTTCACACTTCGCTATCAAGTCATGAAGTGACCGCTACTCAGTCGTCTCCACCCGACAGAAGCGAAGAGTTCTCTGCGAGACAAACCATCCTTTGGCAGACAGGACAGTTGATCCAAGGGGGAACGTATTTCCCAGCAGACCACCTGCCTTACTTCAGCGCTATTGACTTGGTGTTAACACCAGAGCCACACAAGGCTTCGGAAGCACCTGTGGTCCAAAACGGAAAATTTTTGAGGGTCTCGCACACAGTTGCCACATCTCCCGTCCATAAAGTAAAGCAGATCGGATCCCGGTATTGTACAAACTATCCTTGATAGTTAGGCTGATGTCGAGTTAGCGCCACAAATGTCGGTTGGCAAACTTAGTTGTACCCATTCGCAATGTGATTTAGTGTTTCGTCAGCCCACGGAGACTTCCGCAGTTGCCCAGGTAAATGAACTTGTTTACTACACCGACCGGTCCACCTGTAACAGTGAGGTTTGATTCGATCCTTTCTAATCATGCAGAAGCACCTTGCAATTCACAGGTGCGAAGCGCATCCCCAACTATGCTGTGGATTTGTTGCTTCCAACAATTTGCGTTTCTAAGTGACCTGATCAAAGAAAAGCGATATCGCACGCGCATTTAATGTTAGTGAGGGAACTTCCCGGGAGTTTTTCTAGATATTTCAGTGATTACAGCGTGAATTTACTGGCCTGAAGGTCCGTGGTTCGAACCCCACCTCCGACTTTCGACTTCTCTTATCTAGGCTTGGGCGACCTGGCAGTAACCCAGCCCTAATGCCTCCTTCGAGTGGCATGGCAGTTAGACAGCAAAAGGGTACTATAGCTGAACGATTTACTTTTTTAATTTATATTTCCGAGGCGTTAGAAGCACGTAAAGATTCAATCAGCATATTGATTATGAAGTCAAATGAATTGACAGAAAACGCTCGCTTTATATCACTCGCTGGAGTGAACTCAAGGAATTTACCGTAGACACGCGTCCACGAGGGGAGACATGTGGAGCCTCTATAACCAGAAGTAAGAAGAGACACTTAGCACCGGAAGTCACAGTTTTTGACAATCAGCCGATTCAAACGCAAATTCGAGATCATCAGGAGTGGCGTAGTTCTATTACTTTTCACGGAGCGAAAATGTGATCGATATAACCCTGGTAAGGAAACCCTGCTCGGTTCTAGCGAATTCGATCGGCTCGGTGACGAATCAATCTGCGTAGGATAATGCCAGATAACAACTTGCAAGCTCAAGTCAACAGACTAACGCCTCGATGGTAATCGACGACGTTCTTGTGCCCTTCTTCAATATGGACATCACTGCCGAGGTGCTCCACTTTATCGGTGTTTTCTCCACTCTAGATATTTTGTATAAAGTTTGTCCACATATCCACGAGAGATTCAGAGCCTTCAAAGAGTACGCGTACTCACCTGGTCCAGATGATTTGCATTCGCGAATGCAAATCATCTGGACCAGGTGCTCTGCTGCGTTGAGGTAATGAAAACGTACAATCGACTTTCATGGACTACGGTGAACTGATATCTATATCACAATCGGATTCATATGGCCTCTCCAAAGGATGTGTTCACAAAGCCTAGCTGAACTGTTCTTCAAGGTGTTGATCCCATCATTCAAGACGTTTAGGTGAATGAATTTGGGTCATATCATCTTCGAGGATCGCTTAATAACACCAGTTGGTCGGTTTATCTGGAACCGGGTGTGATTCGCCAGCGCTCTCTGTCGATCCTCAGGATCTCCATTATTCGGAGTTTGAAAGATCAGCGCGCACTGATACCGTCGTTTGTTGTTGGTTTCCCTGGATTCAGTCGGAGCTGCTGATGGTGACAATAACTAGTGCCCGTTAGAGTGTGAGATGGACCGGGGTAGACAGTTTCAGGGGCACCGCTCATAGAATCCTTCACCTTTCTCCGGCATTCATCTGCGTCATGTCCGTGTTGGGCAGCACGGGCAAATTTTGCACGAGGGAAAAAGGAAAACTTCTTCGTGAAGTTTTGATAATAGAAGCAGCCCTCTCGGTATACTTTTTATCCATGGGATCATTCTCCTCGACGCTCAGTCCAGACGTGTTCGAAGACAGACTGTCTTGACAATCAAGCACCACGTCGGTTAGATGGGCTACAGTCCAAACGATGGCAGATCCTGACTGGTCAGAATATAAGCCAATCAGGAACAAACACTTGCCGCTCTGTGCTCCCTACACAGCCCACAAAGATTCTGGGATAACCTTGTGGAACACTCGATGATGAC